TGGAAGCCAGACCAGCACCGAGCTTCTGACCAAGATGACATGGTTAGGGAGCAACGCATCAATGCGAGAAATGGTCCACGATCGACCCATGAATCTGTCGTGTTGGATCACAGGTAACGGTCGAGCCTATGCTGTTCAAAAGGCGGCTAAAAGAGATGCCGCTGTCTCTAGTATCTTCCGTGGCTACGGTTTCCACACACCCAAGACTGATGCCGATTATGGTGTCAAAGCTGCTATCAATGCGAGATTCTCTTTGCTTGCTGTTGGCTGTGCCAGTGGCGAGATCCATGTATACACGGCACGCGACTATACCGGCAACATCCCTCTATCGCATAAACTACGACCGAACGTCACTTCGCCCGGCAAATTGACTGTATTGACTTATTCGCCAGACGGGTACTGTCTCTTCGCCGGCTATGAACACGGTTGGGCCATGTGGAGTGTATACGGAAAGCCCGGGGCCACCAGCTTCACTGCAGAAAGGACGCTTTCCAAGACCAACAACGAAGGGTGGCTTCTCAGTGTCAAAGAGGCTTTCTGGATTGGAGGTGGCGCGGAGCTCTTGATGTTGGGCGACAACGACAATCGTCTCTTTGTTTTGGAGATGGCTCGCAGTGCAGTCACTGGCTGCTTCTCTTCGGCAAATGTGTCACGATCTTTGATGCAGACCAGTACCGGATTCATGATTTACCGCGGTTACGATCTGCCAGATCTTACGACAATCTCCGCCGACGTGTCACTCTGGCACCATGTTCAAATCCCATCGGCTTACCTTGTCGACCAATGGCCGATTAGAAGTGCAGTCATTTCGAATGACGGTCGATATGTGGCAATAGCAGGCAAGAGAGGGCTCGCCCACTACTCCGTTAACAGTGGACGGTGGAAAATGTTCGATGATCCCTTCATAGAAAACGAGTTCACTGTCCGAGGAGGTATGTGCTGGTTCCAGCATGTCTTGATTGCGGCTGTCGAATGCCGCGAGTCTCACGAAGTAGGTACATCCAGGCGCTCGGTTCGATTTATACTGACTCACTTGTCAAGGTCCGGGTATATTCACGCGAGGCGGCTCTTGACAACAGCCATGTCATGCATACGCAGAAGCTACCTGCGCCCATCGTACTGATAGCACCCTCCGGCGAAGATTCACTCCTGGTCTACACGTACGAGAATATATTGTACCACTACGTAATCAGTGTGTCCGACGCAAGTGTGAAGTTGGTGCAAGTGGGTCAAATCGCCCTGCATGGCATCATTCGGGCTCCTACACGAGTGCGAGCGCTTAGCTGGATATTACCGGAAGATCAAATACGTACGTTCTTTGATCCTACGGCACTGTAACCGCTGACACGTCTTAGATAACGGTGATCCAACACAGGACGTGGCGGTCGCGACTATCCTGTTCCTCGTAGATGGTAAACTTGTGCTCCTGCAGCCAACGACTACCGAGAGTGGCGAACTCAAATACGAGATGCGCATCATCGCGCAGAACGTGGAGACGTATGCTCTTATGCGCGATCACCCTGCGTTCGCATTGGACCGACATGCCGATTCGTTGCCGGCGAGCCCCTCTATGGAACTGACCATGGAGGGTGTACACGGCCACGATTTACGTGACTCATTGTGGTTCTTCGATGGTAACGACATGCGAGTTTGGATAGACATGCAAGACGTCCTTGCTTCCGCGTCACCAGAGATCGGCAGGGAACTGCCCACGCCTGTTCAAATCCCGGTCGACTTCTATCCTCTTTCGGCGTTGATTAACAAAGCAATCATATTCGGGGTGGAGTCAGAGTTGATTCAACGCAGGGATACGAGCTTCGCGTTCTTGCGCTTCGGAACCAGGGTAAGTCTCTGCGCTCTGCTCCCGCGTCATTGGTGGTACACTGATCTCATGCTGACACACATGCTAGACACACCTCTTTCTCCCCGCATTGCTGCGGTGTCACCTGGCGCAGTTCAATCACCCTGCAGCCTTGCATCTTAGCCACCATTACCAGCATTTGCTATATTTCCCCCATGCTTTGGAGATCTTACTGCATGAAGTCTTGGACGAAGAAGTGGATACGCAGCCACCACCCGAACAGGCGCTATTGCCGAGCGTGCTATCATTCCTGAGCTCCTTTCCCCGATATCTCGACATTGTTGTGCAATGTACCCGTAAAACTGAGGTCCGTTCATGGCGGACGTTATTCTCGAACCTGCCTCCACCGGAAGAACTATTCGAAGAATCGCTACAGAAAGGGAATCTTAAGACTGCAGGTGGCTATCTCCTTGTTCTTCACACTTTCGAAGAACTGCGACCGACAGGCGATCAAGTCGTGCGCTTACTTCAACGCGCCAAAGACGAACAGGATTGGGAGCTATGCAAAGAACTCGCGCGATTTCTTATGGCTCTTGATGAATCTGGCGCAACACTCCGAAGTACGTTGGAGCTTGTTGAGCTGAAGACACCATCAGCGGAACCAGTCCATGGCCAGTCGCATTTTACGTTCGAAACCGCACGGCTAAATGTACCGCTGCGGGGACGAAACAATGGGCTCAGAGCATTGAACGGCACAGGCAGTGATTTTGGGGCCGATGGTACTGGTATGATGGCGCGAGAGAGTGGTGACATTAGCCCCGGTGGGAGCGACGTAAGTGCTGGTAGCGATACACGTCCGTCACAAGCACCCGGTGATTATTTCGGCCTCGGGCTGAACAACATGCGTCAGTAGTAGTAATAACCAGATTATCCTATGGATTGTATCATTGATGCAGCTATGTACATCTTTGCAAGCGGTCCGTGTATTCAAACCCACGATACTCACAACGATGATGTATGGCGTCGCATCACGAGACTCGCTGTAATGGTTCGGCCGACGTCGCTACCTAGGTACCGCTGAACACACATTGACCACCACTCGAACAATTAAACAGCCACCTGGTGATGTTAGGCGATCTGGGTACTCGGGGTGCCGTGTGCTATCGATGGTCCCAAAATATGGGTCTGGCTTTGCTCTCTCCAATGAGCAGCAATGCAGGGTCGTATCGACCCCACAGGGCTGCTTATCCAACCTCACGGCAGGAAGAGGAGTATACCTCGCGATTGGTGAGCTCGACCAGTCTGCCCTCTTCTACCGCGTCTTGTACGGGATCCCGAGGCACGGCGCACCCACGTAGCTGGTCAACTGGTAAGCGAACGTTTAGATTGCGGTCGTATCTGTGTGCTCCGTCTAACGTAGTATCGCCTGATGTCTCGTGTCGTGTGTAGCGGAGAGGTACGTAGCTGAGCCAAGGGTTCCATGGGACGAAATGGCTTGGTAAAGACATCTACGTCCGCCGCTCGACCAAACTTTGTGTCTAGATAAGATAGCAGGGTTGGCATGCGCTCTGGGGATGCGGTGGCATCAACCGGGCGGTGAGACGCGCTGGGCCTCTACAGCGTCTCCAGGGCTTGGAGGTCAGCTTTCGCACGTGCGAAGCAACGTCCAATGAAGGGCCTGGTCTCCTCACGAGGCAATCGATGTGGGTGAAGTCCCTCACAGAGATTGTAGAAGGACTGAGAGGATACAGCCTCGTGATTCTGCTCACAGTGGCAACGCGCGCATTGCACCAAGCCCATTCCATCCAACATGGCAAACTGCTCCAAAGTTTTGACGGATCCCCGAAAGCCCTACTTACTCGTGCTGCGTCTAAGACGGGTCCCGCGCTAAAGCGAGCACCAGTGCAATGGGTCGGCGTTCAGGCAACCAACTATGCCTCCTCCCCGGCGCGCAGGCCTCTCGTTCACTCGTCGCAACAAGCATTAAGGACTCAGCCACGACTGCCTTCACCGTATACTCATCCCAGCACCAGCACGTTGCTGCGCATACTCAACACACGCTTTATGACGCACAATTGCCTGCTTTCCGCTTCATCTGTTGCACAAAGCTTTGTATGGCTGGAATTGCGCCCTTTCTGGAAATATTCACGGGCGGCAAGGCACACTGTCACCAGCCGCGTATATATACTTCTGGCCCCATTGCTTTCAGCCTTACCCGATACCGATCGATCCTTCGTCTTCTGTTGCTCAGATTCCATCTAAATCGTTAACATCTGCCATAGGAATGACACTACATTCCGATCACCGAATCGAACATCATCGCGCTTGCCAATTATCCTTGAGTACTATCGGGCTAGTCGACAACAATGACTGCCCCTCCAGCCGCGCGACCGCTCTTCTCCGCCCATCACATGCCATTTGTCTATCCTTCACCACCCTCGACGATCGCATCGGACTCAAGCTTCTATGGAAATGTCATGTCGCCTCCGCAGCAACTCAATGGTGAGCGTGCCTTTTCGTATCATTGAACGGACTTGATGCGCGTACCACATGCGGAAGGCGCTCTCGCTACGGCCGAGGTCCACTGCTTGCGCATGCTGCACCTTCACGGTGTGTAACACGATCACCAACATCAGCAGAACCCCTGATCGCCATCCCCAGCTCACTCAGTGGTGCCAATCGCTAATATCCAGTAGAATTCATGCCGCCTCGGAAGTCGAGCTCTTCGCCAACGGCGAAGTCACCTGACAATGCGAGCCTTCGATGGATAACCGCCACCAAACCCAGCGATTTCAAATCAAAGGCCACCATGCAAACCGTACGCCAAACCGCGATGGGTAGCTATCTAAAAGCTACAAAGAATCAGGTCAGCGACAAAACTAGGGCCAATAGCGAAGCCTCGGATCATTCGCGATCGAGCTTAGGTTCCCAAAGCACCACAAAACCACGAACAATCAAAACGCCGAGAGTCAAAGAGAAGAAGAGTGATGATAAGATACATCGGTTGTCGCAGTCTACGAGCAGCAGCCAGGAGGCTCCCCATCATGATGCTCAGGTAGCACGGATTACGCCTCACCAATCGACCCTCACCCAGACACCCATTGTTATTCCAATTAGAAGTGGCCATCGGTATCCATTCGACCTAAAACCAGTACCAGATCTGAGATGTCTTGGGAATGGGCTAGACCCGTTCGGAACTATGTTTCAATCGAGGAACACTCGCGTGAACGTCGAGAGGCTGAAGATTGAATGCTCCAAATACTTCGGCACGGAGGGTCTGGGTAGGTACTGGATCCCCGAATGCCTGAGCTATGCACACACCTTCCTCAGCACCCTCTACATGGCTTCCGCATACGATGATGTCGTTCACAATCGAGAAATAGAGAGTTTGGAAACCGCGGCACTGCGCCAAGATGTCATACATTTCGTAGGTGGTCACCTCACCGACGTGGAGCAGAGTGTGGCGGATCACAATATCATCGCCGTCAGCCAACTCATACTGGGGGACGTCATAAGCCGCGCCGATTTAGGTCTACGCTACCACCAGATGGGCATTGCCAAAATGATCGAGCAGCGCGGTGGACTTCAAACCTTGGGTGTCAACGGCCAGCTAGCATCTGCAGTCTCGTGGGCAAACCTCGCGACCGCGGCTTTGCAGGAAGCCTCTCCCACTCGGATGTATGTTGACTACTGCGAGATGCGGGCGTTAAAGACATATCCTTTGATCGCTACGATACCGGAATCGCCGCTATACCATCCACACGGCAAATTCATGACGATCGAGAGGTCGGCAAACTGTAATGCGAATGCGCAAAAACTCCTGGAAGACGTTCGCACGATGATGGAGGACCTGCTTGACACCAATAGCTCGAGGCGTGCAGGCAGCTCTAACAAATCGCGCAGTGCCTACGACCGCATCATTCGATTTCGGTCTGTACAGCCCTCCCGCAAAACATCCATACTGAAAACGAAAGACTGGAAGTATGAGGCAATTCGCCTCGCTGCGATCGTCCAGGCTCAGGCTATGTTCGATCAAGTGCCCCTGTCGGAGGCGCTCGACCGTGTGCAGTTACCTGAAATACAACCGTTTTTGTATAGCTCATCGATGGCCTCACACTCTAACGGCTCTTTTTCCTCGACTCTGGACCCCCAAGATGTCAGTCCAGCTACCGACCTTTCCGAAAGCCCCATGTTTGGTTCATACAGCGAAGGCTTTCCTTCCAACCACCGGTTTTCGAATTCATCCACCTCATCACGACCCTTGCTTTCGTCATTGCAGTCAAGCTCATCGGACGTTCCCCTTCAACAAGAAGTGTTGATGCGTGAAGTCAGCGGAGATACCATCCTCCAACAACTACGAGACGCCCTCGAGAACTCCGACCTTTCAGACTGTTGGTCCGATATGGCCGGAGTGCTACTGTGGATTGGCTTGGTCATGGGAGCCGCGAGCAACAACAGCAAAGACAAGATCGTGCGAAGATACTTCTCTGCAACAACAATGCGGGCATGCATCATGCTGTGCTTTGAGCATCCTGAAGCAATTCATTCCACGATGCTCAGAATGACTGATCTTATTGCAGCCTTAGGCAGAAAGTCCAACGAGGGTCAAATGATAAGGAACGACAGCTTCGTGTCGAGGAAGCGATCGAAAAATTGAAGAACTACCGTATGCACAACTCAAAGGAAACGACGTTGCGACAAGCTTTCTCCACAGTGGCAATGTCTTTCGGCGTCTCCGAATGCTCCACCTCGAATCGGTATCCGTGCTCATATAGGGCTGTAGGGCTTAAGTCTAAGGCTGACAAGGCGCAGCCTTACTCTTCTACTATCTCGAAAACATTCGTGGGTATCTAGGCGTGACATCTACTTTCTTCGTACGGATGTATATACTTTCACATTTACTGTACGATATCATTGTAAGGCGTTTTCGGAGTTCTGTTGTTTACTTCAGTCGAGAGATGGCGGCGAATATCTCTTTCAGATACACTCTCATTAACTATCACTTATCATTCATCACTTTGGGCACACTGATTGCTTATGCTTATGGAGCTTGATGATTTATAATGTGCCCACTAACAAGACCTGAGGTCTGGCTCTCAAAGGTTCACGCCTTCATGCCTTCTTTCGTCATAGGTGTGCCCTCACACCCAGTGACCGTGCCATAAGACAACCGCTTAACCCTTGGTAACCTTGTTGATGGTACCATCCTTATCGAGGTGAACGTTCAGCCTCTCGGGCTGGAAGTCCATGGTCTTCATATCACCTTCGTTGAGAACGCGGTGTTGCTGGGGGAGGTCGGTCTTTGCGAAAGTCTGAGAGTGGCGTTGAGTTAGCGCTGAGGTTCAGTACACAGAACAGGGATATTGGATCAGGGGATAAGTTGTAGTCAGAGGCAACTCACCATCTCGTCATGCTGGTCTCCAAGCTTCTTGCCCATGAGCTTACTCATCCAGTCATCGTTGGAGTTTCCGTCCTTGGACTGCAGACCGGGTACTACGAGAGGCATGTTGTGCGGTGGTGTTCGGGTGGTATAGAGTCTGTGTGGATGTACGTGTTTGCTTGCGCGGAGTTTCGAGAGATGTCTTATCGTGGAGGTTGTTGTAGTGTTTGGATTGTTTTGTAGTGCTGGATAGTGGGGTAGAGGGGACGCAGTACTTATGCAAGTAGACCCTGGCTGGCACTTGCGTGAACTAACTTGTTTGTTTGGGCTTTAGGGGTCACCAGGCAGCAAGATGGGCTATGGTGAGGGCTTGGAGGGGAGGGTGACGTCACCCGTGTCTAGCCGCGTAAGTGGGGTTGTTTGGGGTTGATAGAACGCGGGATTGGCATGTGTTAGACTGCGCTGGTTTCGGGATGCGATTTTCCACTTGTCGGAGATACTGCAAGCCTTTGGAAAAGCTGTTTAGAACTTTCGTGCACGTAGAATCAGGCCGAACTTGATGTTAGTGGAAACCTTCTACTGGCAGGTCCGATTGTATGAAAAGTGCTGATCTTCTGCGTTGCAATAATGAAAGGTAACGATAACATCTAGCGGACAGTAGAGCATTACTCTCAAAGCAAGAAAAAGGCCAGCACGAGTTCGTGTTGTTATAACATGGTTTGAAGAATGTGATTTGACCCTGCCTTGCTTTGTAGCAAGCGGATACAGGATACGTAATCTACATTGCAGGATTCCTTGGGGCCCTTGAACGGTCAAAGTAGTCCAAAGACTACACGTACTGACGAGTCTAGTCATCGCTTATTTGCCGTCGCGCATGTTGCGGAAGAAGTCCATGACACCGGTGAAGACGACCAGCAAGATACCGCCTCCAGGTCCCAATCTCAGGACCTTGGGTGTGAATCCCTTGTATAGTGCCGCGAAGCCCTCCTCCTTCATGACCGTACCGAGAGCCGGCCATGCCCAGTTGTACTTGGGGATTGATCCTGCGACCTTGGGAGAGTTCTGAATACGCGACTTGACAACGTCCATAGGAGTGTTTAGGATAGTGCCGACAGTGCCACCGATAGCACCAGACATGAGGTCGTTGGTGATTTGGCTCTTCTTGGTGGTTGCTGCGGGCAGGAGAGCGCGGACCTGGAAGATGCAGCCAAAGTATCCGGCGTTCCACAGGATGTGCCTCCACATGGTCGACTCAAGACCCTGGTAGAGGGTGAGCGGCCCTTCCTGCTTGACAATCTTGGTCACGCAGTCCACCATGCCGTTGTACTTGTGAGCTTGCGCCCTGTCTTGTAACCGGATCTTGACGAGCTCGAAGGGTACGACGACGAAGGCTTCGGTGGCACCTGCGGTGGCGCCGGTGAGGATGGAGAGCGACTGGTTCATCTTGGCCTGGCCGAACAGGTTGCGGTAGAAGGAACCCCATGAGTCATTGGCTGCGAACTTGGTGGCCCTGTGTCGCGTGAGATGGTTTCCTTCTTTGTTGATATTAAGAAGTAGGGAAGCGAGTACCTCTTCGGAGCTTCCATAAGAATAGGCGCGGTGATACCGCGGTACAATCTCGACGCACTGGCAGATGTCAACCCCTCTTGCTCATGATCGCAGGAGCGTCATAGCGTACCCCTCATTCTTGATGATCTTCCTGAAGCAGTCCATCATGCCATTGTAGCCCTCGTCACCGACCACCTTGCCAGAGGTCTGAAGTTGTCTGTGTATGTTTAGAGGCGGTCCCGAGGTGGTGTCACATGCGGTCGCTTACATCCGGGTCTTGACGACGTCCAGCGGGTACCTTGAGATAGTGTTAGTGCCTGAGTCTCGACTATGTGGGTGCGGGATGGTACGTACATGATCAGAATCTATAGATGGAGCTGCATTAGCACAGTTCATCTCACGCGAGCTCCATAGACAGTTGCGCACTCACTTCTGACACACCAGCCACGGCACCTGTACATTGTTAGTCGTGATCGACGTTGCTGAAGCTCGAATTGATCGCAAGAATTTCATGCGCGATAACCGGAGCGAAGCGTGCATATATTTCTTGCTTGAGCGGAACCGGATTTCTCTCGGGTAGCTGTCGCATCGGAGCTGAGCGGTGTTAAGAGAATTGGAACTTACCAGCCGCGAACTGGTAGACAAAAGGCAATGGCTTCGCATCGGCAGCAGACATGTTGGCGGTTGTGGTGGGAGGATGTGAGGTGGTCGAGGGGAAGAGATGAGAGATGGGCGCTGTTGAGTGAGCGGTTCACGGTCGGCGCGCACAATCTGGGGAAAGAGTGCTAGAGCGTGGGATGAATGTCCAAACTCCGCTTAGGCATGGTCCTAGCTTCCCGTCATCGGTTGACACCATTTCGATTGGCGCAAAAGCGACTATCTGACCCGTCCCTGCCTCTGGACATGTCTTGCTACTTTTGTGATACGCGGAGCTACCTGCGATACGCCAAGTCGTGTCAATTCCGTGACTGTATCAATTAGGATATCCGAGGACTACGACGGAAGCCTGCACATGCCGGTCGGCCTAGACCGGGACTGTCTATTATTCCCAATGTTCAACGTAGTCTCCAATCGAACAGCCTAAATTCAATCGTGTCTGCATGTCCCATAGATGCAAAGAGTGGTTCAGGCCAGCGCAGGTCCCCGCACTCGGAGCTGTGTCGCCCATCGGCTCGCAGCAGCCGGCCCGAGCGCGTATCGCCACGAGCTCTCGCCTCGCCCAACGTGATTGGCCACTCACGACGCGTCTCTCGCGTTCGGTGCTTTCAAGACGCTGACGCTACCAACCGTCTCCATGTCCACGCGACAGAGGTCCTTCTTTGACCAGAACCCGAAGCCAAAGGTACTTGGATAGTCCGCTGCCTTCACTGCCGCCGCCTACTCACCTCTCACCCTCGCAGCAGCACTTCAAGGGCCAATGGAACCGCCCACGCAACTTCCCCCACCAAAACAGTAACCAGGCGGCGCCGCAGGCTCGGCAGGTAGTTACTGGCCCTCCCATCATGCCTTCGACCCAGACACGCACCAAGCTCAAAGCTTTCCAATTCATCGAGGGCGCACCCACGGCCGAGTCCCTCCGCCAGCGCGAGGCTGAGAAAGAAAACCTACCTTCGGCGCGAGGAAAGACAGCCAAGCCCATGGGCACACCAAAGGCGAATCGGGTCGCGAAAGATGTGGGAAACACCATCAAGACTCCGAAGCTGCCGACCATTCTCGACTGTCCGCCGCCGTCAACTCCCGCCACCACGAGGCTGCCGCTTGCGGACCTAGTGGGCAACGTCGACGATTCCTCGAGACACGCGCCGCAACCCGTCGCCTCGCCCGAAGAGACGCTGATATGGAGAGGCTCGCAGGCAGTCAACACGCCTTTGCCTCGGAAGAACAAGAAGCGCGCTAGGAGCTCGTCGCCTGTCGGACCGTCGCAAGACGAACACAGACTGGACGGCGCCAGGCAAGACATCACAACACCCCAGGCCGACCCTGCCATGGAGCTGTGGTCACGGTACACAAACAACAAGGGAACACCAAGCGCCAATAAGAGCGTGGCGTTCGCACATCTCATCAACGAATCGTCACCCAGGTCCATGGCTGCTGCTGGAAGTGTCAGTGGGCTTCGCAGATGGGCAAGTTGTGGCGTAGAGTTCCCAGCATCGACCCGGAAGAAACGGAGAACCCACGGTGTATTTCAGCCGGAGCAAGAAGCTACAGAGGACGTTTTCGCTGGCGCATCTAGTTCGGATGGGATTATGCTTGGACAACCCGCGAAACCCAACATCGCGAGCATGGTCCAGCGCATGAGGGAATGCGTGTCAAAGTCACAGCCGCGTATATCGTCACAGATGCCCTCAAGCTCGTCCCCATTGCCTGGGGCCGGCGACCGTCAGGACGAATCGTCAGGCTCTCCTCTTCAGCGGCGTGCACGCGACTATCTTGCAGAAACCTCCGAAACGATACGGCACGAGTCGGCACCTCTAGAAGATACCGTGGAAATGTATGACGAGCTCGTTCAAGAAGATGATTACGTGGAAGCGGCACCGAAGCCACCGGCATCGCAGGGATCCTCAGATGATTTCGGAGACGACTTCGACGCGGACATGGTGGAAGCTTTGGATATATCGCCTGGACCTGTGCAACCTCCACCGCCCACGAAGTCCGCGCCACCAGCACGCTCCACGAGCTACGTTACCATACCCACCGAGCCCATCCATCCGCCCGCACAACATCACTAT